GGGTCCTAATTTTGAGGTTTGGGGTGACCAAAACCCTCTCCTTTTACTGTAGGTGCCTTTCTCCGCACCTCAGAGAATCAGTTCTGCTGAGCAATGTTCATTGTTTCGCAAAACCCTACCGTGGAAGTAGCTTTTGCAGGTCAAGGAAACTTCCAGGCTAGGTAAGGGAACACGGATACAAACAGGGAATCTCGTGTGGCAGCTTGTACTTATTCTTCTGGATAACAATACATCTACCTGATCTTCGTATTGTATGCAAGCAGCATTTTCCGAAACCCTATGAGAGTATACCTGCCTGATCCTACTATGGAAGTGGCATGTCCAGGTATATCCCAGGGGCCCCCCTGAACCCTAAATCCCAAACCCGCCCCCCAACGACGACGCTGGAAGCACTCCTGCAATCCCTTTTCATCGCACTTCTGCGGATGTAAGTCCTACTTGGGGACTCCTTAGTTGAAGGTTCAAAACTTATTTGTACAAAAGGTGAGAAGCGAGCTAGCTTTTCAGCTCAAAGTTACCCTACTCAAAACCCCACTTAAATCCTAGACCCCAAAACTTTAACAACAAACACAATCTAGGGATGTACCCCGAATTTGAAGGGTCAGTGAGGACCCCTGGAGTGCTCGGGGTTTTGGGTTTAAGGCTGTAGTTTGGCGTGTGGGCGTGGGGGGGGGGGGGGGCATCTGTACACCACCTAGCTGTACAGGGGCATAAAACCAGTCTTTGTGGGAGATATTATAAGGTGATGGGATCTTGCGGCCCTTCAGATTCCCACATATAATCTTAGGTTAGCCCCTATACATATGATATGTAGTTACACATATACGTGTATGTCTATCCCCAACAACAAGGCTGGTTTCCACAACCCCCAGATCTTTTGAAAGCATGTGCGGGCGCTGCTCATGGATATCTTACAGGCTTAGGAAATGAGCTCTCTGAACCCCTAAACCACTGCAAAAAGCACGAGAAACACTAAATCCTAAACCCTGAATCCCAAACCCGAAATCCTACACCCTAAACCTTAAACCCTAAATCCCAAACCCCTAACCCCTCTGAAGCTGCATGTCCACCGAAAAACCCTCCAGTGTTACAAGATCCATGAAGAAGTGGCAAGTGTTGAGGTTAATGAGGGCAAACCCTTGGGAGCCAGGAAAGCCCGGGACTCAGAGACTCAGGCTTAGGGTTTTAGTGGTCAGGATTGGTTTAGGGTTTGGGGTTTAGGGTTCAGGGTTGGTTCAAGTGTAGGCTTTAGGGTTGAAAGTTCAGGCTATTATTGGGGTTTGCTTGCCGGTTGATAGGATGGCGGGTTGCCAGGTTTGGTGGGGCAGGGCTAGACAACTTTAGCTTCCCCTAGGCTATGATCAAACCACCCAAAAAGGGCGGAGACGGGAGAGAAAGAGCGGGCGAAGGAAGACCGTGACAGGGAAGTGAAACTGGGTTGGCCTTTGGGATACTTAAACATTTTCCTTAAGTGGTTTCATAAGGACCCTATATATTAGGTTGGGCCCCCAGCCACTAATAGTGACCCCGAAAGGTAATGGTAATTGTATTAGGGTCCTTATATATTCCTAATATACCACTACTAGTGGGTGGGGGCCCAACCCAACCTATGTACTAATATTTTTCATAGGTTCCCAAAGGCCAATAAAGGAAAAGACGGATCCCTCCGGGAGAGCCTGAGCGGGGGGTTGGGTTTAGGGTTTAGGGTTCAGGGTTTAGGGTTGAGGGTTCAGGGTTTAGGGTTTAGGGTTCAGGGTTTAGGGTTTAGGGTTTAGCCAGAAGCAGAGCCAGGTGCCTGACAGCAGGAGGGAGGGAAGGGCTGTGAGATTTTGGTATCCACCATAGTAGGCCCGGATTAATAAACCCACTGCCCTTGAAAGGAATTATTTAGGGATCCGAACTTTGGACCCTGAACCCTAAACTTTACCCCCTAAACCCCAAACCCGAAACCCTAAACCCCCTAAGCCTTTCTAACATGGCCATCTGGTTGCCGAGGATCGGCCAGATGATGGCCGTGAAAGCACCCGAGTCCGTCTGACAAAGGGTTTGGGGCACTGGGTGGTTCATGGTAAGTATCTGTAGTCGTAAAGAGTCTAGAGGTTTAGGGTTTAGGGTGTACCTGGACGCCAAGAGTATGTAAAATGATAGCCTTTTGGGCGATTTTTGGTGGTTGTGGGCTATTTTTTTGCATACTTTTGGGGTCCAGGTAGTCGTAAAGAGTATATACGTTTAGGGTTTAGGGTGTAGGGGTAAGAGTATATAGCCGAGTGGTTTGTATCTGTACGGGTGTATATCTTAATCTAGCCTAGGGCTGTTTATACTTGTAGTTCTAGCTGATAAAGTACTTAAGGGGTTGATATCCGGACTACAAGCACGGATGTAAGTACATACTACACCAGACCTGAAGCCCCAAAGCCCCAGGCAGGGATATTGTTGGTATTGCTGCGTCACTATGTATACATTGGAGGGGTTGAGGGTTTAGGAAATTGTGGTCTAGGGGTTTAGGTTTTTAGGGATGCAGGGTTTAGGGATTTGGGGTGTAGAGATTTAGGGTTTAGGGATTTAGCGGT